AGGCCCCTGCCTGGTGTACCTGTCGAATCATTCAAAGGTGAGTTCAGAGCCAGTGCCTTCCATCATAACCACAGGACCAAATGCACGCGCCGAATATGCACAACTTGGTACAAGACAGTGTCCCCTGCCTGACCCACACGTTGCTTTGCGACCATCCCTTACACATGGAAACAAGCAACTGGAAAAATGCCAACAAAAATGAGCACAAAGCCAAACCTATTCTCTCCGATTGTTTGGGATCAGTACACTAGATGGAAATTTAAGCATTTTATATCACGCTGATGATGAGAGAATGGCAGAGGATATTGTGTAAGATGTATCTGGAAAACCTGCCACTTTATTAAAACTCATCTTCCTTTATATTTTTTTATTATATCAAGAACTGAAATATTTGTTTGTAAAATGACAGAAAAACTAACACCAAAGGGAATACGACAGTGAATTAAAAATTAAAAGGCATTCTTACCAAATTCCTTTGGTACCGTGATGGAGTACAGGCAAACTTGACCAGCTGTGTAGTTATGAGGGTAGTTTGGTGACAAGACCACCCCTTCCGACCCAGTGTACTGGCCTCCGCAGGGAGCTGAAAGTGAAAGCAACCCAGATTCTGTGCTGAGTGACAAAGCCGCGTGTGACGGGCGGGACATGGATGAGATGTGCTGACAAAACGCACAGGGTGCCAGGTTGACTTCGAAACATAACAAAATATTAAAGGTAAAAACCTAGTTTACACTGCTATTAAAAGTAAAATAAAGAGAAAGATTTACCAGGTTAGAATAAAAACAATTCAATTGAGCAGGAAGACATAATTCTAAGTCCTCTGTCAGACATGCTGAAATAATCATGAAAACAAATATAATAATAACAAGTTTGATAAAGACAAAATACTAAGTTAATTAAAAGTCTCACCAAAAATTTCTGGTTGATATCAATCATTATATTAAGAGATAAAAAGATTATTCCAGTTTCCTACTGTTTTTGTAATACCATGGGAGTAAGGA